GATAGCTCATTTCTGATTAACACTGAATAATAAATTGTCTGTAGATATCACAGTTTATTTACCAATTCACGTCTTAGTTGCTTTCAAGTTTTGGCTTTTATGAATAAACCTGCTGTAAACTTCCATGTGCAGTTTTCTGTGTGGACCTACATCTTCAACTATCAAGGAGCATGATTGCTAGATCATACGGTACAAGACTGTTCAGCTTTGTGAGAAACTGCCAAACTGTCTTCCAATGTTGTACTGTTTTGCGTTCACATCAGCAATGAGTGAGGGTTCCTGTTGTTCCACATCCCAGCCACCATTTGGTGGGGTCAGCCGCCCACATTTTGACCACTGTAATAGAAGAGCAGTTGTATCTCACCGTTGTCTGCATGTGCATTTCCCTGATGACGTATGACGTATGACGTAGAGCATCTTGCATGTGCTTACTTGCCAGGCGTATACTTTTCTTTATGGAATGTCTGTTAAGACCTTTGGCCCCTTTTTTAATTAAGGTTTTCATTTTCTTGTTGTTGAGTTGGAAAAGTTCTTCTTATATTTGAGATAACAGTCCTTTATCTGTTTTTTTTTAACAAAGTATTTTCTCCCAGTCTATAGCCTGTCTTATTTTGTTCACAATATCTTTCACAGAGCAATTTTTTTTTCACTTTAATGAGGTCTAGCTTCTCACTCATTTTTTTCAAGGCTCTTACTTTTGGTATTGTTTCTAAAAGTTACTACTACCCCAAGGTCATTTAGATTTCCTCTTATGCTATCTTCTAGGAGTTTATAGTTTTGTGTTTTACACTTAAGTCTGTAATTTTTGAGTTAATTTTTGTGGAGAGCATAAGGTTTGTATCTAGATTCACTTTTTTGTATGTGATGTCCTGTTGTTTGAGCATCATTTGTTGAAAAAAACTGTCATTTCCCCATTGAACTGCCTTTGCTCCCTTATCAAAGATCAGTTGCTATATTTATGTGGGTCTATTTGGGGGCTCTCTCTTTTGTTCCACTGATCTATTTCTTTATTCTTGCACCAATATCTTGCTGTCAGGATTACTATAGCTCTACAACAAGTCTTAAAGCATCAGTCCTCCGACTTTGTTCTCTTTCAATATTATGTTGACTGTTCTGGGACTTTCATCTTTCTATATAAACTTTAACATCAGTTCGTGGATATCCAAAAAATTACTTGCTGGGTTTTTATTGAGGTTGCATTGAATCTACAAATCAAGATTGGAAGAAATGATTCTTTAATAATATTGAGTCTTCCTATTCATGAACTTTCAATATTTCTCCATCTACTTGGTTATTTGATTTATTTCAGAGTTTTGTAGTTTTTCTCAGATAGAGAGGTATAAATCTAGCAACATATGTACATCTAAGTATTTCATTTTGGAGGGTGCTAAGGTAAATTTTTAATTTCAAATTCCATTTGTTCATTGTTGGCATGTAGGAAATGATTGACTTGTATGTATTAACTTTGTATCCTACAACTTTGCTATAGTTGCTTATTAGTTCCAGGAGTTTTTTTTTTTTTTTTTGGTCATTTCTTTTGGATTTTCTACATAGACAATTCTGTCACCTGCAAACAAAGACAGGTTTGTTTTTTTTCCTATCTCATTTCATTAGGTAGAATTTCCAGTTAGATGTTGAGAAGTGATGAGAGGAGACATTCTGGCCTGCTCCTGATTTATTGGGAAAGCTTCAAATTTCTCACCATTAAGTATGCTGTTAGCTGTAGGATTTTGTAGATGTTCCTTACCAAGTTGATGGAGTTCCCCTATATTCCTACTTTGCTGAGAGTTTTTAATCATCAGTGGGTGGATTTTGTTAAATGCTTTTACTGCATCTATTGATATGATCATATGTTCCTTTTTAGTCTGGTCATTTGATGGATTACATTAATTGAGTTTCAAATGTGAAACCATTCTTGCATATCTGGGATAAATCCACTTGGTTGTGGTATGTAATTTTTTTACACATTGTTGGATTTGACTTCCTAATATCTTGTTGAGGATTTTTGCATCTATGTTTGTGAAAGATATTGGTCTATAGTTTTCTCATAATGTCTTTGGTTTTGGTATTAGAGTGATGCTGACATGTTATTATGAGTTAAAACATAATCCCTCTAACTCTGTCTTCTTAAGATTGTAGGGAATTGGTATGTTCTCCTTAAACGTTTGGTAGAATTCACCAGTGAACCCATCTGGGCCTGATGCTTTCTGTTTTGGAGGGTTATTAATTATTGATTCAATTTCTTTTATAAAAACAGGCATATTCAAGTCATCTGTTTTCTCCTTGTGTGAGTTCTGGCAAATTGTGTCTTTCAAGGAATTGGTCCATTTTATCTATGTTACCAAATTTTTTTATATAGAGTTGTTCATAGTATTCCTTTATTATCCTCTAAATGTCCATGGATCTGTACTGACACCCAGCAAAAGTATTTTAACTACACTACTTGGATTTACTTTGAAAAGCTTAAACTGTACTACACATACTTGGTAATAGTTATTGTCAACAAAAGACAAACAAAAAATTTTCTACAATATCCACATGAAGCAAAACAAGAAGAAAAAACAAATATCTATACCAAAAAAGCACACCGCTTCAGTATCTTTTGAAGTTTTGTAGCTCTCTCCAGCTCCTTACTGTCATGTCTAATGCCACTGTTTTTTACAGAAAATCAGGGAGGCAGCCCATGAATATAGATCCAAAAAATGTCACTTGAAAGGTATAGTTTATTTTGCCAGTTGACTCCACAGTACAGCCGTCAGTCATACTCAAACACAAAAGTCCAACCATTATCATCATGAAATTTTTATATGAGCTGGGTGCTAGAACAGATGTGAAAATACCTATGATAATGAGTAATTTAAAATGCATAGAGTCTTTAGAGCATGAAGTATTTCTTTAAGCATGAAGTGGTGATTGGATCAATTGAACACTATTGACCTATAATAATGAAAATCCTTCTCCTATTTGAAAACTGATGCATCTGAAAGTTATTTTACCTCCAGAATGCAAGGACACTGATGGTGTTTAGTATGAAAGCAGATTACCCAGGAGGAAGAATATGATGTCTTTAATTTTGTATTTGCATCCAGAAATGAATTAATTAGAAGATATATGGAGATCAATGAGATTTATAAAGAAACTAACTTTCCTCCATAAAAGTAAGAGCAGATTGACTAACTCTTTGTACCCTCTTCGTAAATAAAATGTATTAAGCACTCGTGCTGGCACTTTGTGGAGCTCCTGATGTACAGGGTTTCCAGGAGGGCAGTTATACTTGTTCATTCAGTTAAGCATCATATGCACCTAAAGCAGTGCCTGGCACATATTGGTCCCTCAATATTTAATCCTCTTAACACCATATAAAGTATATATCACTATCCTTAGTTTCCTCATAAAGAATGGACATCAACAAAGTGAACACTGAGGATACCATGCCAGACACAGGCAGATCTGGGACTTGAGCCTAAGTCTGCTTCTGCCAGATGCAAAAGGCCACCTGTTGCCTATTCCTCAAACTTGTCTATTTCCCCAGCCAGTTCCACCACAGAGATACAAAGAGATATTCTGCAAGGGTATATACTGTGCATATCACCTGATTCAATGATTTTTTTAACTTGTCATTCAATGCATTTTTGTTAAATGCCAAATTCAGGATTATCTCATTTCTCTTTAGCATAAATTGAAGGTCTCAAAGTTCTTTCAGAAATAAACCTCTGTGAAATTTATGGATTTTTAAATTCAGTTGTTGCATTAAACATCCCCATTGCCACATAAATATGAATTCCAACTGATGAAAATAAAATAATTTACTGAACTGTAATCATAATCTTATTTAAAAAGCTTTTCCCTGAGTATGCTTTCACATCATTGAGGATGACACACTGTGTCAGTTTTTCACTACAAAATATACTATTTACAGCATTTCTAATTCACCTATAAAATGCATGAAGAAAATCGACATGTAAGATCCTGGTGTGAGACTCCTTTTAACAAATTTTAAACTCTTTGAGCAAATATCATCATAGCACTCACCTGCTGTGCACTGCTTTTTGGTGGAAAATGCTCTTTGGGTTTCTCAGCAAGATTAGCAAAATGTTAAGCATATTTTTTTCCTTTTATTTTTCTGCAAAGACTGGAGAGGATCCTTATAAATCTTGCTGCATTCTCTTCAAGTAAACTTTCTTAACCCAAAAAGATTCTTGTTGATTACAGTACAATTTCCTTGACTTCAGGTTTAGACATGTCAATCTGTATGTGTTTGATTGCTGAGTCTTGATTTCTACAGGTAAATAAATAAGGGGCATTCTCTCCTTCTTTTCTCATAGTATCTCATGGAGATGAGGCAGCACTTGTGAAACCTCTTTGGAAACTGTCAGGCTCTGTAGAAATATAAGACTAATAATATCCATAAAAGTTGTACAGGAGAATATACAGTGTTGGTCTGAGGTCTGAGAGAAATAATGTTCAAAACTGAAGGCATACCTTTCCTCTATCCACTCCAATCTGTTCTGTATCCTTTTTCTTCTCCTATATAGAACATTCCCACTACGTTACTCCACCCAGCAACCTGAGTTCATCTAAACCCACTACATCTACTTCACTCCAGATACAATTATCCTAAGCAGCTAGAGTGTTTATACTCTCCTCTGTATCTTTATGGTCACCACTTCACTACTGGCCTTCCTCATTTCTTGTGCAGATGACTGTAATAATCTATCTACTGGGATCCTTGCCATGGCAGTCAAAATGACTTTCCTAAACAGAAAATCTAATTTCGTCACTTCATTGTTTAAGACCTTCAATTGGTCTCGGTTTCTCTCAGGATCAAGTTCAAACACTTTATTATGTTTTCTAAGGTCATTTTTGATCTGGTCCCTCTTTAGTGCCCTCCTTTTCACTCTAGGATACAGCCATGCTGGTATTTGCAATTTTGTGAAAACATCTTGCTCCCTATAACCTTAGGGCCTTTAGAAGTGCCATTAAACATGCCAATTGTAAAGACATGACGGTCGTCACAGTCTCTCCTAGATTTACAGACAACTAGCACATTTGAGAAAGGATGTGTGCCTTTTTTGCAAATATTTGAACTGCAGAGACCCAGTAATTGAGAATTAATCCCAACTTGAATTTGGCATAGAACAGGAAAGGAAAGAGTCAAAGACTTTGATAAAAATTAATAGACTGATTTGAAATCTATGCCTGTTAATATCAATGAAAGGGTGTATATTAATGAAAGAACCATTGCTAAATATAAATTTTATATCATGAAAATTTAGGGAAATCTGGGATATAGAGAGAAATAAAACAGCCATTATCATCTTCCATATATATATATATTTACACATATAGTATTTGCTGATATTTTTATTTTTAAAAACAGACAATGATAACAATGACAGAAAAACTAGTTACCACTTACTAAGCATAATTGCATACCAATTATGTAATTACTACTAGACGTTTTGCATGTATTGTTTAGTTCATATAATATATAATATATACGATGTAACTTCCTTTATGGATATAATGGCTTATAAAAAGGTATGTTTTCTAGTATGAATTTATTAAGAATCAAAAAGTAGTCTAATTTTCTTCCAAATATATTTTTCACATATATTTTTTACATTTGAATATATTTCTTTGATATATATGAAACAGTTAATATCTATGAAAGGCATGAGGATTATTTATTATAATAATAAAAGCTAAGTAATAATCTTAAGTAATTTTCCTTGCATAAATACCATTTGTTAATATGACTGTGTAAGTTGGACATACAGGGTGTGTGTGGGTACGTGTATAAGATTTTCAATTCTCAACAAAATTAGACTGATTTCTATTTTGTGAGCTCCTATTCAGATACAAATAACATAGAAAATCTAATAGAGAGTCTGACTTAAAAGAAGAATGCACTTGAAATTTGGATTTTAAAAACTTGTGATATTGGCTCCCTAAACTTGGAAGAATTTTAATAAATACATTTTTTTTAATATTGACCATTTGCTAAGAGCAAATATTTGGAGCAAGTATATAACTTATGTTATTTTTCTAAATATTATAAGTTCTAATAAAATAGCTTTTTTATCCAAATTTCTATTTCTCAATGAATGAATAATAAAAGAGTCCACAATGGGAAAACAAACGAGCAAAAGTCAATACAGTTATCAACTTAAATTATATACAAGTACATAATAGAAACCAATTTTATAGTTTTTGTAAATTTCTTGCATGCAATAGGACTTACCTACATTTATATGACTGAAATTAAGTTGCACACTTACATCAATAGCTCGTAATGTTAAGCAACTGGGGAAAGAAAGGATCTAGTAAATATCTCATATGATAACACTTTGAATTTCATTGATGCTTAGCATACGAATGTAGTGGAAAGATCACTAATGTCAGAATCTGAGGAATAATGCTTCAGATCCAGTCCTTCCCACCAATTCAAAATCCAAAATCCGGCTCAAGTCTCCATTTCTGTCTCACTACTCATGGCTGTGGTTTCTGCCATGCCACCCTGGCGTCTAAGGCTGGATTATTTGTCTCTTTCTCTGAGTTCCTAGAACTCCTTTTCCATACCCTTTGTCACACTTGACATTGGCTTTATTCCTCTGTCTCTCCCTTGAGGTCAGGGGCTGGACCATATCTACCTGTGTGATCTATTCACCTAGCTGTGATCCTCATACAGCTATCAAGACAAAAGAGGTCAGAATTTTAATTTAATGATAACTGTTACTGATATTTAATGTAAAATAATTAGTATTTGATCCAACTAATATTGCCATCCAACAAAAAAGCCATCCAACATTTTTTGGACCTCTTACGATAGGACATGTTTTCATTGGATTTTTTTTTTTAAGTAAATTCTGGTCCTGTGGATTCACATTGCAAATTGGCCTTGAAGAGTCAAATTTGTGATTTTCAGTATTTTCAATAACCATCATAGTATATTTAAAGATTTATTCTATGGCTATACTGGAAAATTCAACTCAAATGTACTGAAATATAGTATATTTGACTAAAAGCCATAAGCAAGTAATTTTTCCTTCCCTTTAAGTTCCTTTTACAAAATGTATCTTCAAAAGAAAACAGATTTATGAATAATTACCAAATTATATCACAAGGACTATACTTAGACATGCTAAAGATAATACCATTCAATTCTAATAGAAAGCAGAAGCAGAATGTGTTATATAAAAACAAATCAAATCTTAGGTAAACCCTAAATGGATAAAATATGGACATGTTAGTAAACTAGTAACATAATCTTATTTCAGAATGTCTTGTCTGATTCAACCAATCACATATAAAATCATTCTCATTACTATATGGAACACCATACTTATACTCTGTGCAGTTATGCTGGTAAATAAAATAAGTTCCTCGATCGTCAAGAGTTCCTTGGTAAGTAAATAAAGTTTGAAATAGAGGTGCCAAGTAGAAGTGGCATATAGGAACATCAATATGCTACTAAATATTTTAATATCAGACTAAATAATTCTTTTTTAAGACCAGAAAGTTTATTCTTATTTTACCTATACTATCGTATGTCAATGAATAAATAAATCCTTGAAACCAACTGCCCTGCAATGCAGCTTTAATATTACGGTGATATTTACAGTGATGTAGGCAAGTTAATTTACAATCAAAAATTTACTTTATAAAGACCTCTGATTTCTCTGAAGTTTCTGGCAATATGATATACCTGGCAATTCAGTACTAGAACAAATGTTAAGAGTTCATATTCCCAGAATGTTAATTTCAAAAAAAATGTATCTTTTATAGAAATGCAGGGAAGAAGGGAAAGTAGATAAAAGGTCTCATAGTGAGCTGGGGAAAATGTTTTTGCTAGTAGTAGTGTGTGCGCTCATGAAGCTAGATTCAATCAAGGAAGGCCATTAAGTTAAAATGCTAACTATCTTTAGTTGATTTTCTTCCTTTTTTCTCTTTTTTTAATGGAGGTATTTAGTTGTTACAATGATTTTGGTATAATATATACTCAAGGAAAATGTTTTATGGCTGTCAGAAGATTATAACAAACATCAACTATAGTCTATCTGCATATTATATATAAATTGGAATTCGACAAAACAAACATTTAAGATACACAAGAAGAATTCAGTAAAATGTAAAAAGTGATATTCAATTTTGTTAAAAGTATCACTGACCATCAGAAGTATTTAAATAAAAAATAAAAGTGCACCTTGAGTGGATTTTGACTGGTAGATACAAAAGAAATTGGAGAACAACTAACCATTTCTAACCTTCTAGCAACCAGACAGCCTTTCATGAAAGACCTTGAAGAACTAAGCAAATGCCTGTGGCAAATCTTATGGTATCTGCAACATGCAGATGTCAAACTCCAAGGAGAGATGGGAAAATACACCGGCCGAGGTGGGCTTAGATAAGATGCCCAGTGGAGGGAACCACCCCGGAGGCCTGACTCCTCCAAGACTGCTGAGCTAACCTCCCGTCCCAGCTTCTCCATCAGGCAGGCTCCCTGTGGGCGTTAATCTGTATTTCACACTTCTTTAATCCTTTGATATCCAAGCTTCCTTTATCTTCTGGGTCTTTAATCCCATTCCTCCCCCTATTTCTCTGGGGACAAAACTGTGTGTGTGTGTGTGTGTATTTTCCACCTGAATAATTCTTTCCTCTCTATCCACTAGTTTTAATTTTGCCTTGAGTATTTCCTTCTCTCGGGGACAGGAGAAAGGCAGGTTTCCTGTGTCTCAGGAGGCTGTCACTTTAGGGTAAATTGTGCTTTTATTAATACTTCCCAATGCTATAGGCTTAGCAAAATAAATGGCATATCCAGAACAAGAAGTTTTAAATGGACACAGCCTGTTATCTGTTTATATGCCGGCTTAGTGAAATTGCTAAGCAGAAAAAAAAACGAGGATGGTTACAAGTCAGTAAACCATACCTTGCTTCCAGCTATATGAAAAATTAGAACACTTCACTCTTTTTCAAGTGATCACATTATTAACTAAGGACATAAATACTTCCAAAATTAAAATGCAACCTCCTTCTCTCTCTCATACACATATACACACATAGATGGGGAACAAACTCTAATTTATATTTTCATATATAGGACAGAACAGCATTCAAAACAAAAAAATATTTGCTGGTGATGTCTACTTCATACTGAAGAATCTTGCACCAATCTGCTAAGTTTTGTCAATATTGACTAATTTGAAGTTTGACCATTTTGATTACCCCCATTGCTAATGTCTGCTAAAGGCAATGAGGAATTAACACAGATAGTAAGAGGAAGAAGGAAAATTATTCAGGGCACATTGATAAAAATGCAACACAAATAACTTCAACATTTTCACTAATTTAATAAATGATTTTTAAAATAAAGTATTAAATGATTTCATCAGGAATACAAGATTTAAACCTATAATCTACTATTTTAAAAAAATAAAATCCCCATTTTACTTGATTTATAATTGCACACACACATGCAAGTACCACATAGTCATCTTTGGTTTGTTCTCTTAGTGTCAATGGTAAATTAAGTACCTTATTTTCAAAACTGGTGAAAATATTTAATATCATGGGAATTAAAAAAAAGAACTTCTTTAGACTAAGATCACAATATATGGAAGATAAGAGTTCTTCAGTTTGCTGTTTCTTGCAGATAATCCGCAGATTTAGTTAAATGCATGGTGTTAGGCTGCCTGTGTTTTGCCATTTATTAGCTGTGTGACCTTGGTCAAGTTATTTAACCTCTCTGTGCTACAGTTGCCTCGTCTGTAAAATAAGTAGCACTTTACAGGTCCTACTCATTAGCAATAGTAGCAACTATTCCAAAGGGTTTTTGTAAGATTCAGTGGGTTAATATCTGTAAAGTGTTAACAACAGTGCCACTGCACAGTGAATCTTTAAGAGATCATTTTCAGCTGGGACAAATCTTGATCAAAAGCAGTAAGTGTGAAAATCTAACAGTGCAAAGAATAGCCCATTTGCACAGGAAAATTATATTAAAATGGTTAGCTTTCTATGAGAACATCTGTTTGCTTCACATCTTCAAGGTTAGTCCCCCCGCTCAGCCCCTTTTAAAAACGTATCACTCTACCAACTTGACAAGAAACAAACTACATTCTAGTCTCACAGTGCATATGCTCAAGGAAAACGGAATAAAGAAGACTGGGCAAAAATGGAATTAGTAGTCACATACAGTAAAGTGCAAATTTAAAAGAAATATTAGCCTCAGTGCTAAGGTATTTTCCATAATTAAGCTCACTTTTTCATGATGAAATATAACTGAATTAAGGGTTTTTAAATTTGGCATATGATCTTCCTTGCACTAGCAATGAGAAAACCAAACTTTGTAATTTTACTTTACTTGACTCCTCCACTGGTGAAATGCTTTAAACCCAGCAATCAGCCATTTTACAAGGCCACAGAGAAGATCAGGTAGATGTCTTGTGGCTAATGCACTGAATTTCACCCACGTGAGTCAGAACTGACCCTCTCCCCCTCTTCCTGAGAAACTGTGCATTCAGAGCTTATCCACAGTTCTATCAAGCCTCCTACATGGTTTCCAATCGAACAGCGGCTTATAAACAGCAAAACAGGAGAAGAATGAGACGATGGATACAAAAACCTCGACCAAAGTAAAATGCATGAGTGAAGGAATAATTCCTGATGAGATTTAAAGATTCAAAACACCACTGGGTTTGGGCGGGCATGCGTGG